TTCAATCTATTCTTTGCAGCATATGCAGACGACTCTATATGTCGACTGTCACGGATTTCATGATGCAGTGTTAAAACTGCTGTATATTGTCCATTGGTTGACAGTAATCTTGTCTGGATCCAAGCCAGATAACAAGTCAACTGGCAAAAAAGCGAAAATAACCAATAAATGTTTAGACTTCTGTCAACATTAATTCTGTTAAATATTGTCTTGAATTGATTAGTTGTTTTATAAAGATCTATGACTGTTGCTATGTCTTATTCTTCTTCGTCTTCTTGTCGTGCCATTTCACTCCTGATGGTTTTTGTGGGTAATACAAATACAAAAATATCTGACTATGTTTGTCTTGGTATGCTTGTGGGTTACCGGGTCGTAGAGGGTAAATTATTGTTCCTACATACATATAAAAATATTCAGTTGCGTCTGGTTAAGACTCAGTAGCGAAAATACGAGACACAAACAAACATTTTCTCAAATCGATTGGTCCAAAGTTTGTAATTTCGTTATTTTTGTACAAGCAACGCTTAGTAAATGGTGAAAGTTTTGTGTACCTATATTCACTAAGTTTTTTCAATGTGACATTTACCTGAAAGGTTACCTTAATCACCGAGTTTATTCGCTACATTAAATTAGAACAACTTTGATAAGCTGCGCTGTATCAGTAAACACTTTATTAGTAGTTTGTTTGTCTTGTATTGAATTGAATTACGAATTATTTTGATTGTGTAAATAACGTAATTATTACGCACGATTCTCTCCGAATATATTCAGGTTTACATTTTACGAATTGCCAGCCCATTGCTGCCGTTCTCCAATGAATTTCAGATCGAGTAGGTTAGAAACTACAAGAACCGGCCTATGTTGTAATTAGTTGTGAATTGGGATGATGACAGATTATGAAAATTAAAAATATAATTAGTCCGTTAGTTAGGTAATGAAAAAATATAAGACACGTTTTTTATACTGTCGTATGATAAATACTTAGATAAAACGAATCAAAGTTTAGGAGTGGGGGCTAAAAGGTTAGTTTTACGTATAAAATGTTCATACATAGAAGTGACGTCACGCAACATTTCAAATCAATATATCGTCGAAAGTATTCGTTTCTGTAAGAAAATAAACAATACGTGTCTAATGATTTAAAATAATCTACCAAACGGACATTAAAATAAAAATTGGGCATCTACCCTATTCCTAGTTTATTAAAAAAAATCTGACATTCAATGATATTTAGCAAGACCCCAAGAATGTATATCAACAGATTGACGTCGTATTTACTATCGCTCTGCCAACGACATTGTGTTTAATTTCTAAATGTGATATTAAACCAGTTTTCCATTACGTTCTTATCGCGTAACTCCCATCTCGTATGCACTCCGTACGTCACAGCCACTTGATATGAAACGACATTACAGATACCGGAATAGTTCTCTTGCTCTAGATTATTTGATTTGCTATGAATGTGACGACTGTCGTGGGAAATTGGATTGGGGCCTGCACTGCACGTAGTGGGACTTATTATCGAAACTATGTTGTTACAAATGTGATATTTTATTAATAATGTAATTTGTGTCTTGTTGCAGGTAATACAATATTCCAAATTATGGTTGTTTTGCAGTGATGAAGGTATTTTTACGGTATGTGTTCTGTTGAAGTAGATGTGAGCATCAACAATTGGAAGATATCATCGTTTTGGAGTATCTTTCATATTAACCATATCTCCAGCTTGTTCACTTTTACAATCCCTATATAGCCTTGTTCATTTTATAACGTCTGTCTCCGTCTCTGCCTACGCATTTCACATGCCCATATTGCCACAAGTGGGCGATTTGCTTGTTTTTCTTCGTTCTAATAGAGCCCAGACGTGGTCTCGCAAACCTACATAGGTTACTGACCTGACATCTGCATCGCGTGCACTACATGCAAATTCAAATTGCTGTTGAATAAGTTATTGAATACTGTTGCTTCCTAGGAAATATTTTTAATATTTTATTTAGGTCTTCCTTTATTTAAAGTTCCTGAGTCATCATCAATTCTTCCTGTGATCATTGCGTAAAACTTGCTGTAAAATGTACTGCCGACTTCTGCCTACATTATGCGTTTATCAGTTCGTCAGTGAGTCCGACGTCTGGTATGCGTTTGATGCGCTGGCCTCTACGTCGCATATCAGACAATTGTACACATCGCATTCAGTAGCAACAAAGTGCTCGATTGAATCTGAATGAGGTAAGGTACGGTGTCGGTGAACCTAGGGCTGTGTCAATTGGCGTCAATTGATTGATATCTCCTATTGACGCCGGCTTATGCTTATTAAATTCCTGTTACATTCCTTTGTCAACTAGCCCATCGATGTCATTGTGCATCGATTCAATTTTCTCGATAACTTTATGGATTCTTTCCTTTTCATTTATCGAGTTAAATTAGCTTGAAGTGTTTCCGGAGTTCTATGAATATTAATGGAATATTAAAATAATTTCCTGCGCTAGATTGAAACAAGTTTCCTATAAATAGAAAAATAAACCTTTGTAGGTAGAAACATGAGTTGCCAGTGATGGAGCACTTAGTGAAAGTTAATTCTTGTTTGTTTACGAATCCTTGGCTTATGTAAGATCTTTGATATCGTTTGTCATGTCTCTTTCACTTTCGAGATACTATCTCTTTAATGATTTACGTACGCCTAAATATTTAAAAGCTACTCAATATTAAGTTTAATGTATGTACATAAATATCTTGCCATCTCTGTCATTTTACAAGGCATTTGGAGTGACAGAACTATACTTGAAATTTGAGTATTTAAACATTATTGTAGTGGATTCTTCAGAGGTTTTAATACATTAATTAGATGATCGACTACAAATAAATGTTAATTATGTACACTCGTATAAAACCGACATTAAAGTAGTGAGTCATAGAACTCCACTGATATTAGTTATCGATGTTATCACGATACACACCACTGGCTATGAATAAGTAAGCTATAGCTATAAAAAAGTATTATTAATTTAACGATTTTTTGTTAAGCTAAAGATTAGATAAGGTGTGTAAGTACGACGAACATACATGATTATAAAAATGTCGTGTAAGACGGTACATTTGAGGTTCTAGTACAAAATAAATGTAGTTTTAGATTTCCCTCGGGTTTATCTCTTGTATAAATGTAAGATAGTAAGATGGCGGTTGCTGAGTTGTAACAGCGTATCTTTAGCGTTACCTCGTGAATGTCTAGGACATATAGGTTTTAAGATTACTTTTTTTTTGACCTGACGCTGAAGCTGACGTATCTCGCCTGGTTGTTGCCACCACTTTAATGAATGTTACATAACATAACATAATGCCTTTTATCCCCGAAGGGGTAGGCAGAGGTATACATTATGTCCCTGTACAATGTAACACCCCACTTTTCACTATTTATGTTATGAGTCAAATGTAAGTGGGAGCCTATTGCCATATACTGGACACAATTTCAGACTCCTTGCTACTAATGAGATTTTTTTAAAAACCCAATAGTACTTTACCCGACCCGGGAATCGAACCCGAGACGAGGCAGTTTAATGAAAGTTGTAACTTGTATGGCTTTATTACCGATGTCATTTACTTAAATATGACTCTGGGTCAATTAATTTAACTGTATCTGTATGTTCTATATCTTTCAATTTTTTTTAAGGTTTTCAATCGCTTCATCTATTTGAATGTTAAGCTAATTCAGTGTACCATTCATAAACATTACTGAAGATATCCTCAGAAGCAATATTTTTATCACCACTATAAATCTAAACCCAAGTAATTTGAAATAAAAAGTTGAATAATAATTTATCGTATCTACTATACAAGTCAAAGATTTATGCCAATGTGAATAAGTATAAACTTCCACCGATTGTATGGTTTGTGAATGTGCAATTTACTGTATAGTCGAGGAGCCCGATTGAGTTATGGCGGCATAATGTACTCGCTAGCATTAATGGGCAACTTCGCAGCAATTTATCATTGCATCGCCCTCAAACGCTTTATTATTCATCCACACAACACTGGAGGCAAATTGCCAGATTAAAAAATTAAATATCACCGCTCAATGTTCATGTAATTTCGAATCCATTAGCGTTAGTTTCAATAAAATTCATAGACTTTTTATATTTACGCCAGTCATTTTGATTTTCATATTATCTTTGTGTAAATTGTTGAAAGATTTATTGAATATGAAAAAACTTTTATTTTGACAGCTTATATTGATGGAATATTGAAAGTAGTATTCGAATTTAGACCTTTTAATGTGCCTAGAACATTTGTGTAATTATTTCTTTTGTTAGGACTAGTGTTGAAAGTAATAATAATATGCAATATTTGGAATTATTATGAGCTTGCTTTTGCTACGTTAATCTTTTATTTTGGTAGATTGGAAACGGTTTTTCATTACATCTATAACAAAACCCAGGGCTTTATGTCAGTTTTTACTGTTAACTCGTCGAGACCGTCATTATAGACACAACTATAGAACAATAGGTTGCGGTCACCGGTGACCGCTTGGTGTTTGACAGTTTAAATATATCAGTAAACGAGTAAGACGATGAAAAACTACTTAATAACATCCATACGAAATATTTGTGTAATTAGTAGGTTTATGTAGAAATGTTTTCATATTTGATTAATGCCAATGTTAAGGAGTACTTAAAAAATGTTGCTCTTAAAGAGATTTTCCTTTTTGCGAAATAGATATCTATAAGATATTTTCTTTTGTTTTGATAAACCGTGTTGAGATTTATTCGACTACAATAAAGTTAAACCTACGCTAGATCCGATGGATATGGGTGACAAGTAAATTAAGGCAAATACTTAAAGTTCTCAGAGGTTTATGTGACGTCACGGACGCGGCGAACCGCTGATCGGTGTGTGCGACAAGCGAGTAAATTAAATATAAACAAAGACTGTGGTCTTTGTTTATATTTTTATGTTTATTATTATGTGTAAATCTTTATTGCTAAAAATATAGCTAGCAGTACAATAAAGTGCGCCTATAGTTATTAAGTGAAAGTGTTCAGTGAATACAAAATAAACCAAAAACTAAATAATTGATCGGAACTTTCATCTTTGAACCACCCTCAACTTAAAATAATAATAAATAAAAGACGTAACGGCTAAATAAACGTCAATAACTTTAAGCGATAACAGTGCTTAAGTGTAAAACAGTCTAGTTAATATAGCTGTTACAAAGTTCTGAGTCTAAATAGAGTGTGCCAAGTGTAGATACTGAGTACCTGGAGTGCATTTTGTATAAAGCGACATCTTGACATTAAGCGGAACAACTGTGTTAAAAATATCTGATCGTTTAACATGCCTACAGCAAAGTGTGGTGGTTGTGCGAAATTTTTGTCGCCATTAGACGCTGCCAAATGCAATCACTGTAATGGTCTTTACCACCGTGCTTGTGTTTGCCTCCCGAGCACTGGTTACATTAAACCTGCGTGGCGCTGCCCTGAGTGTAGCAAAAACCAGGTGAGAGACAATAAGGCAGATACACCAGTTCGGACCAGGACTGCCCAGGTTGAAGAGCACTTAAATCCTGAAGAACTTATGGAGACCAGCACAATGAGCTGCACGACCCTGGACGCTACCAACCCTTTATCTCCGGATTTAGCTGACGAACTGCGGCTATTTAAGGAGGAACTACGAAAAGAATTTCGCCTGATGCATCGGGAGCTCCAGCAGCTGCGCACGGAAATGGCGCAACTCAAAGAGTCTGTTAGGACATCTGACGAGCGTATGGAGAGCTTGGAGGTGCGTGTGGGGTCCCTCGAGCAAAGGCTGGAGCAACAAGTCCTGCCGGAGAAGGGTTCATTAGAGAACACCATTGACGAGCTGAGGTGTCAATTGAACGACCGAGATCAAGAGCTATTAGTCAACGATATCGAGATCTCAGGAATCCCTGAAAGCAGGGACGAGAGCACCCTCCACCTGATTAAGATTCTCGGAACAAAGCTCGGCGTCAACATCGATGAGAAAGACGTCGTTCACGTTGAGCGCGTTGGTTCCACGCACCGAAACCGAATCACCAACACCATCTCTGCCGACCCCAGTGCGCAGCGGCCGCGTTGTATATCGGTTCGATTCGCGAGGCGATCTACGCGTGACTCATTGCTGCGCGCGGCCCGAGTGCGGCGCGGTCTGAGTACACATGACCTCGATGTGAACGGGCAAGCGCACCGTATCTACATAAATGAGCGGCTTACGCGAACGAACCGCCAACTATTTTACCTCGCTAGACAGGCGGGGACTCGGAGAAATTGGAGGTATGTCTGGACGAGGGATGGGAGAATCTTGGCACGCAAAGAGGATGGCCTAAAGGCCGAGCGCGTCCGATGTGAGGCCGATATAAGCAGGATTTTTGGTTAGGGACCTGTTTGTTCTGTTTGCAAACATGTGTTACAATGTAGTCATAAGTCACTTGTCTTACACTTATTGTACTGTTATTGTGTTGTCTATGTATAGGGCAGTAGAAACGTTTTCAATGATTGGTTGTGGATCTTTTTTACGGTTGTGTGTGTGTCTTTATCAAGTTATGCACAAACTGGATGATATAATTTTGTTCTTACTATTTGTTTATTTGAAGGTTATTGTACTTTTTATTACCTGTTTAAAAATTGATTACACTTTTTTGATCCATGTGGGTATATACCTCTACAAAAATTGTTACTGTCTGTTATGTTTTGCATCGGCATGTGTCATGACGCTTACCAGTGGCGCAAACGTAAACCAATATTATAGCACTACACATAGATACCTACACTTAACTTTTCCTGCATTATTTATAAGTATATTTATATCTGTACATGTATCACGACTCGTTTGTTTGTTTCTCCTCATTTTTTACACTAAGCATATTATTACAATGTTTACTATTGTTAGACAGCGACAAATACAAACACTACTATTTTATCAAACTATTAAATATACAAAACATAATATACTTGTTCTTTTATTACAATGATGACAACTATAAGAAATAAGTTTTTTAAAGTTGGTTTTTTTAATGCTGGGTCACTGGGTACGGGTCATGATGACTTAATTGGGGCACTAGCCAGGCATTGTTTTGATGTGGTGGCTATTAACGAAACTTGGTTGCGACCTGGACAGGAGGGAAGGGCTCCTGTGGTGCCAGGCTATCGTCTACGTCACACGCCGCGGCCTATGAGTGTGCGCTCGGGCCGCGGTGGTGGGGTTGCTTTTTATCTTCGCCGGGGATTAAGCGCGCGTATTTGTACTGCGGTGGTTGATCCCATGTTCGAATCAGTTGAACAAATGTGGCTGACACTGACATTGAACGGGAAAAAAATCGCCGTAGGTACGGCCTATCGACCGCCTTGGCTTGACCTGGTCCTATTTTTGGACGCCATAACGGAATCTATCAGTTCACTGGGAGACTGCGACCACTACATACTACTTGGCGATTTTAATGTTAATTTACTGGACACTGTTGGCATAAAGACGAATAAAATTAACGAATTTCTTAATTGTCTCAATCTCACGCAACTGGTTTCCAGTCCCACGCATTTCACATCATCCAGCGAAACTCTCATCGACCTTCTGTGCTCGGATATGATGGCAAGGTTTGTATCCGTGGAACCACTTGGCTCTCTTTATGGCCATTCCATTATAGTGGGTGAATTTCATATTAGGCGAGATAAATTCAAACCATACATAATAAAATATCGGCCTCTTAAAGATGTTTGCATAGATGGGTTGGGGAAGGATTTATCACTTTCAGGCTTGGAGTACATTTCCTTATTAGACAATGTTGATGACATGGTTCATTTCTTTAACACTCACATGATCGCCCTGTTTGATGCTCACGCGCCGGTAAGGACTTGCACGATTAAGGAGAAATCATATCCGTGGATTACTGATACCATAAAACTTATGATGCGTTTACGTGACGATGCACTAAGTGCTTGTAGGAAAAATAAAACAGAGTCTAAAATTAAATACTATAAGGAACTAAAGCGCCTAGTGATTAAGTCATTGCATAGTGAAAAAGTTGCGTACTTCAAACATAATATAAATAATAAAATTAAAAACCCAAAATTATTATGGAAAAATTTGAAATCTACTTTGTTGCCGTTCAAAACTATTCAAGATCTACCGTCTCAATTTACAAATCCTGACCAAATTAACAAAAACTTTTTGATGGTGCCTGGTAACCTTACAGCCAACGAGTCACTGATGACGTTTTATGAGAAAAATAAATACGGTGAAGCTACTTTCTCTATCAGTCCAGTAGAACCGAATGTCGTCTCACGAATTGCCACAAATCTTAAGAGCAACGCTGAGGGCCACGACAATATCACTTTGGACATGATAAATATGACACTACCGCACTCATTAAACGTTATAACTCAAATAATTAACTGTTCCATTGAAACTTCAACGGTTCCCGAGCAATGGAAAATTGCTTCAGTTAGGCCATTACCGAAAAATTTAAACCCAACTGAATTGAAAGATCTACGTCCTATTAGCATTTTGCCGTGTTTGTCCAAGCTATTGGAGAAAGTCGTTAGTCAACAGTTGATTCAATTTTTGGAACAGAATAGTATTCTACCTGACTTACAATCTGGGTTTAGGAGGCAACGCAGTACGTCTACTGCTTTGCTGGACGTTACGGATAATATTCTGGTAGCTCAGGATCAGGGAATGTGTACAGTGCTTGTCTTGCTGGATTTTTCCCGCGCCTTTGACGCAATAAATATTCCCCTATTATTGTCCAAATTGAGTTATTACGGTTTTGCGCCTAGTGCCGTGCAGTGGTTCCGCAGCTACCTCACGAATAGGAAGCAATTTGTCGATTTGCATCTGAGTGATGGCACTACTCTTAGATCATCCTATATGACAGTAGAGAGAGGAGTGCCTCAGGGCTCCATCTTGGGTCCGATTATTTTTATTCTCTATTGTGCAGATATAATTAAATGCATCCATAAATGTAAATACCACATATACGCCGATGATGTCCAGGTTTACATATCTTTCCGTCCAGATGAGTACCATGATGCCATTAAGGATCTTAACGATGATCTACACAGAATTGCCACCTGGTCTGAGGAGCACTGCTTGTCATTGAATCCAACAAAAACCAAATATTTGGTATTTGGCTCAAGACAACAGCTTGCAAAGTTACCTCCATCATTTGACCTGAGATTAATGGGCGAGCAAATTGAGCGAGTGTATGAGGCAAAAAATTTGGGGTTGGTAATGGATAAAGACTTGCGTTTTGAGAGACATGTGGCAGAGTCTGTTAGAAATTGTTTCTATCGCCTGAAGGTCTTATACAGAATGCGACCGTACCTGTCAGTGGCATTACGGGAGCGGCTGATAGAGACCTTAGTTCTTTCTAGGTTAAACTACGTAGACACGGTGTATGGTCCACGCCTGTTAGCACGTACAGATCGGCTCATTCAAAGGGTCCAAAATGCTTGCGCTCGTTTCTGTTACAACATTCCTTGCAGAACCCATGTAACACCATATCTGAACGAACATTTCATATTAAAAATGAAATCCAGACGCAAGCTGCATCTGGCCTGCCTTTTATTTGGTGTAGTTAAATACCAGAAACCGGACTACTTATTCCAAAAATTAAAATGGCTTACGGGCCGGCGGGAATGTGAAAGAAGGCAATGTTCACAGCAACTTACGACCAAGTCATATGGTACAGCCGCTTTCAGGGGCAGCTTTCGCTATGCGGCTTCCAAAGTGTGGAATAACCTCCCACCACCTATTAGAGGAACAAATTCAATGGGTGCATTTAGAAGACGCTTGCGACAATACCTCATCGATACACAGCGAAGGCTTGATATGGTGGTGCAAAATACCTCAATTATATAAGTAATGTACCCGTGCATTCTGTTCATACACACGCAATATAATTTTTATCATATTTAATAAATCTTTTTTGGCTAATTACTATACCCTATTATTATATGTATGTATGTATTATGGTATAACTATATTAATTACTTAATAATTTTATAATACACTTCACACGCTACTCTGCATTTACTGCTTACGTCCGTTGCGTCACAGCCACAGGTTCAGTTGAAAACCAGCGTCAGGCACTAGATGTCTGGCATTTATGCTGAACTGGACCTTTTTTGGTGCAGCTGTCAGGCACATGATTATTGTTGGTATATTTAACTTTTTAAATTTTGTATATACCTACCTACATCTGTTTATGTTCTTTTTTTAATTTTTCTATTTCACTCCTAATTTTTTGTTTGCATTGTATTTATTGTATTGTGTTTGTGCCTGGTGTTGTACCAAATAAATTATTTTTCTTTCTTTCTTTCTTTCTTTTGGTACAAATTGTAACGAAAATATTTTACTTATCTAAATCACAGGCGCAATTAAATTAACGTCCCTCAAAGTTGTTATTTGATTCTGAAAACAGTTTTCCTTATTAAACTTGCGGACAAAATATTAATATTATAACTAGAATTAATTACAAGAGGAAGTTTTTACGCCTTGTTAGACATTTCATGAAATTAATATTCTTGGAAATGAAACAAAATTGTTGAATACTATCGAGGTTTCCCACTTCAATTCGGGTGTATTAAATTTGCTTTACTTAAAAAAAATAGTCTAGTCTAATATGGACATTTCCTATACTATTGCATATCTGCCGTAATACGTGTATGAAAATATGAATTAGATAGACTGAAATACGTATTAGATAGACCCTGTCTGTCTACTCTTTTAAAGAATAACAAACAAACATGATGTCATAAAATGTAATTTTAATGTAAATTTTAATATTGCCATTTATAATACTTTATGTATGTTTTCCATTGTTATTATAATGATGTGTATGACTGGTGTGGCGTGTTTTTCATTCGATAAATAAATGTTTCTTTTTGTACCTTTTGTGAATATTTTTATTGTTAAATGTTTATTTTAATAGTGATGTCCATAAAGGTTTGTTCCGAGCTCTCGGACTATAATGTCATCTGTTGATGCGTTTACTGTTTTCTTGAAAGGAGAAGAAGAAGAATACTGCTGTCTCTGTTGAACCACTCTCCTCTCACTCTTTACCGTAAAATTTCGGTAATACATACGCAGCTACTGTAACGTAACCATTCCGTTTCCTAATTAACGATGTTATCGTCATTTTATAGTATCGTTAAGCCTCTGATATCGTTTATGGATAGTTCCGATTGCATGATCGCTTTACTTCAAATCAACACGCAACCGTGCAACATTTTTATTGTATTGATTTTTTAATTTAATTTAAATCTTAATAGTAGTACATTACGAATTAAATTAGACACAGCTCATTGTCACCTCCAATTTATTAATATAACCGCCATGTCAATAGTTGACATTTGACATTAGTGTCAATTACATAGACAGACGGGCCAAAACTAGCGCAAGAGACAATAGAGGTAATTTCTTATTAGATAATAATTAGGTACGTTGTATAAAAAGCCAATATCT